TTCGTCAATGAATCTATTCAGTAACGGAATCTTTTTCAACGAGTTCACATTCAAATCAGTATGATTGAATTATCAGTCTAAAAACAATATATATGTTTAATAAAACATTATTATTATGAATCATGGTCGGGAAATCGACATCATTTAAAGCAAAATGAAAATAAAGGAATATATTATGAAATACTAGGACTATCTATTTATTGGGGTAAGTTGAATAATTACACATGCAAAGTTGAAATGAAAGACACGTAACACAAACGGTAATAAAGAATTCCAAGTGAACAAAGTAGTCCCTTTTAGTAATAAAATAAAAATGGGGAAAATAGAAGCATTTTGGTAAGCGTAAAAGAAAAAATAAAATTAGTACCATAGTAAAGAGATGCATTTAAAAGTTTTTGTACACATAACTCTAGTTTTAATCTGTAAATGTCTGAAGTTGAGATTAGAGGGAACCTTGTAGTACTATTCAACTGAATTATGTAATTAACACTGAATGAATAGTCGGAGACTGAATCTTTTGATTGTATTATATGTTTTAGATTACAGGACGTGATTGATTACCGTTGTTCGTTTCTAATTCTTGCTGGTAAATGTCCTTGAGTGTGACGAAGAGGAGATTTCGATGTAAGACATATATACCTGACTCCATACGAACTATTGAAGAGACGAATGCTCATTGTACTGATCAGTTGTGGTAATTTTTCTCTCACATAAAGGCAGTATATAAACTTCCATAGTTCCAGTGTCCACTGTTATGCTGTGAATTTAGAAAAATCAAAGGGATTAAATAACTGAATCAAAAATACAAACATATCCGTTTAAGTTTTTTTATTCGAAAACGACACAACGAAAAGAAATCGAACCGTGAACAAGCAAGAGAAAAAGGTAGCACTCGAGAAAAAAGTATTCAATTAAGAGATATTGCAACAGATAAAAGTGTATCTTTACCAACATAATAGATAATAAATAAAAAAGCATAACGATAAGCAATAATAATCCATTTTATATTATGGACCTCCAGATAATAAGCTTATAACCAGAATTAGTAAACGATACATGCATTCACGTCATTTGAAAGCGTGATGTTAAAGCTAATTATGATTAAACAGATGAACATTCTAATCAGAAAAATCAAGCCAACTATATTGAGACAGGAACATTCAACTGATAGTCAGTTGGATATCATGTTAAAATCATTTTCAACATATGAAAACATCTAGGATTATATATAATATTTAGGTTAAAGTTCTAGTTAAATGATATTTTTTTGGAAGGTATTCAGTTTAAAGACTAAAAGTTAGCAAAAGTATCATATTGTATGCAAATAATTTGTTAGTATCATATTAGATAAACTTTATTGGTAACTTGCTTACTGTTCCTTTTTATGTGAGAAGCGGTATTTGAGGACGTTTTCAATAAATTCATTGAGATACCCCCAAATGCCCTGGTACGGCCGAGAGTGGGGAGAGTCAGATCTGTCTCTCGAAATGCTCTCACATGGCCACGCGTATACAGACACTGCCAGAAAAGTCCTACTCAATAACTTCTCGTGGCGGGGGTGTTGTTTACGAAATTGAGAGGACGAAAGTCTGGAGCTTTAACCGGGTCGGTGGACATGGAGAGTTCACCTAGGGGAGTTGGAAAACCGTGATTCCAAACCAATGGTACACATGAGTCCCAGAATCCTGAGGGAACAAATGGCGTATGGACCTATCGTTGGTCACTGGCTATCATGGGACTTCATCTCCTGACGTTGTTCCACTGCCTTGTGGATCAGACCTTTAGGTCGAAGGCTCTGCGTGTGGTCTCCTAAGGAAACCACCTGCTTCGGTCTGTGCAGTATCATAGCCCACACACAAATCAAGTGACTTGTGTGGCTCATATGTATTCGGTGCCCCTTTGTACCAATATTATTGTTAAAATAAGTAAATATAAACTATTTTCGAACTGAATATATGTGAAGTACGGGACATTTATGATAATCATGGTAGTGCTGGTAGGTCATTAGCTTTTTGATAGTAAAATGTATACAATAAATTACAGTAACTAAACAGAAAAATAGACTAATTATCACATTATTATAATTATGTGTGTATCTACAGGCTAGGAACATACGTTAAAAGTCTAATATAAACAGTAATTGTAACAAGAGGAAGATTTCATCAAATTTTAAGCGTATGATAATAGTCACTTATGAGAATTTAAATTTAAAGTGCATAAGGAAAATACTTTGAACAAATATATTTTGGTTAAACCAAGATTAAGACTATATCTTTGAACTGAAACTACTCTCAATACCAGATAAAAGCAAGATATTAAGGATGTTTTAGTTATGATCTAAGTTAATCGTCATCCCGACGTACAAGCCAATGATTCGAGTAGATTAAGCTGATGCTTGACAATGTTAAAAGATGTGTTCACTCACCCTGATTATCACTAAAAAGAATAAAAATACAGCTTCCTAAGGTAAGTTTCATGAGTGACTGAGCGTTTATTTACAATTGTATTCAAGTAATAATTATAAAATCCTGTTCGTGCAGTATCGCTCTATGTGAAGATAGGCCTCTATAGTCCTTCATCATACTTCATGAAAAGTATTACTTTAAGTAGTACACTAAATTCTCAGGTCCTACCAAGAATAATCTTAAATTTTACATGGAACCTAATCAAAATTAGGATCATAATTAAATTAAACCAACAAGATTAAAGTTTGCAACTATCTGGAATTTGATTTCAGACTTAAAGCTAACTTTGCTGAAGCCAAATATCAATCATGTACAACTGGATGTCGCACAAAAGGCGAACTAAAAATGATTCTTTCACAACAGCTGAAAATATTCACATTAAGCGTTGCTCCAGCCGGTTTGCAAAGTCTAGCAAATTACTAGTTAAAATTTCGACACTAACTCAAATAACTGATGTTCCAATCACAAAGTTACATGGACGAAATGGAACGGCGAAGTATCCACAGTAATTCTCTAGAAGGCATTGCTGATGAAGAAGTAAACTGATAATACACCACAAATAGTGTCATGAAGAGGATATTACGTGTAAGTCCATTGAAGAATTATGAATTTGATGTTCCATTAAAATTCAATCATAACAGGTTCTATCTTATAAATTTATTACTTACTAGATACATGAAGCGGTGTCAGACTGGTCTGTTAGTATGCACGTTCAACACAGACTTAAAGCAGATTTACAGTTTTAAACACTAATCCTGAATCTTTATGGAGTATGAATAAGAAGGCGATTATTAGATTTTAAGAAACTTCATGTTTATCCACTTGCATCGACATAAACTCATAGGACTAACAAATTGGCCGCAACAGATACAAGTACACTGTTACATTGATTATTTTAACATACAAATATTAGTACAAAGGAGTACCGAATACATATGAGCCACACAAGTCACTTGATTTGTGTGTGGGTTATGATACTGCACAGACCGAAGCAGGTGGTTTCCTCAGGAGGCCACACGCAGAGCCTTCGACCTAAAGGTCTGATCCACAAGGCAGTGGAACAACGTCAGGAGATGAAGTCCCATGATAACCAGTGACCAACGACAGGTCCATACGCCATTTGTTCCCTCAGGATTCTGGAGCCCATGTGTACCATTGGTTTGGAATCACGGTTTTCCAACTCCCCTAGGTCGATCCTCCGTACCCACCAACAACCCGGTCAGAGCGCCGGACATTCACTTTTCGTCCTTTGAATTTCGTAGACAACAGTCTGTCGCGGGGAGGTAGTGAGTAGGACTTTTCTGGCAGTGTCTGTATACGCGTGGCCATGTGAGAGCATTTCGAGAGACAGATCTGACTTTCCCCATCTTCGACCGTATCAGGGCATTAAAATGGATATTAATTCAGCAATTAGAAAACTGTGTGAAAACGAACGTCCTTTTACGTCAGAGATTTCAAGTAATTAAATATTATTTGTAGAACTATAAATTATATAATGATAGATTATATTATTCACTCAACCCCAACAGACTGATTATGTGAATCAATGATCAAATAGAATCTCAAGTAGGAAACAAGATACTATGTAAAAGTACCCTACTATATTATCTGTTCAAAAATGTTGACAGGAGATTAATCCAAAGCATATCCTGAAATTCATTATAAGTTATTAATTAGCAAGGAATCATTCGTAACATCTTTTCCTGCAACACAAATACCTTCCTATAGTGTACATATGAAAATTCCCGCTATTTCAAATGAGTAATAAAAACGTTTTCATGACTTTAACAATTTTTAGAAATCTATTTCCAAGAAGATCAGATCTTTAACAAAAGCTTAGTATTCATGAGTTATGAATCACTCTTTATTTTATGATTTTAATTAAATATAGAACCGCATACCTATTTATGTCCTTACACTAACCTATGCTGAATTTCCGTTGAGCACCGCTTACACAAAGTACCAAAAAGGATGATATACATTACATAATGCTGCTGACTAGTGAGAAATAGAAAACTGGTATCACAGTAGTTAGTTTTTAAAATAGTCAAATCGACGCGCTGAATATTACTGATATTTGTGCAAAACCTTTTTAGCTCTGTTGACACTTTGTCATCATACGCAAATGTGTTGAAAAGTGCGAAATATAACATTTGACTAAGTTTTCGATTATCAGTACGTTGATTTTCCCAGTATATTTTCGGTAGAATTAGACTACACTGACGGGCTTATAATAAACCAAATAAAAACGAAGATAACGGTTGTTGAGTTTATACGCGATTTATAAAACGGAATTGTGGATAGCCTGTTACACGACAAAATGTTTTTAAGGTCTTGCATTTTGGCTAATTCGGTTGGTGATATGATTGAAGGTTACCTACAGAATTCTGGATCATTGAGAAAAAGCATCCTATATAGCAGTGGTCACAAAATGATGTAGGGAGAAGTTAGAGTCCAGAAGGGTGGGGGCCAAGTTTTAGAGGTATTAAATTTAGAAGTATTAGGTTTAGGACAATAGAGTTAGGATGTTAGCATTCAAAAACCACTTTTTTACAATTTTACTATTTTTACATATTATGCATCCTGACTGAACAATATTCTGTCGGTTGATCCTAAGGTCTTTTCTAGAACTGATGAAGGCCGTCAGTATAGTATAGTTTTACCGAATCTTCAAATTCCCAACATTTAGTTACCCCTATTGAGTAATTAAAAACCTATATAATTAAAACTTATAATTCTTAACTCTATTTTGGTCAGGACAGCTTGTTCAATGAGCGAGCATGTTCAGTCAACCTTATATTACCTGATAATCTATTTGTATCAGGTTAGTTTAGTGTTCAGATTAATACTTTATATCTCAATGTTTTGCTTCTAAATGTGTGACCTGAATGTGTCAGACATATATACATACCATGAATACCTACTGACAAAGAGGAATACGTCAAACATTATTTAACAACACATAATTCAACATTACTTAGAAACCATTGTAATTTCCCAGTAGCATTAAAACAAAACACAATAAACATCTAAGCATCCTAATATAACATTTACAATAAATTTATTCATAGAGAAAACAGAGAGAGATCAAATAATAATACATATATTTGACAAAAAAAAGAGGCAAATAATAACACGATAGAACTGAAAACACAACAGAAAAAGAAAGAGAGGACCAAATAAGTGATAGACTATAATTAACTAGGTATATAATAATGAATTAGAATACACAAAAATTAATGAACAATATTCGATTAGACCAGTAGGATACAAAAAAGACAGAAAACAAAACCTGAATACTACAATTACATTTGTTTTTTTGTGATGAAATAATGGTTTTATGAATATCCTGTATATGATGCCGTGCTGACTGATGATTATGATGGCATGTTCAATTTTGTGCAGTGATGATAATGATGATGATGATGATGATCAATTGAGATATATAGGATCGATAATATAATGATCTCTAAGTAAAGTAAATTAATTACGAAGGTGATTACTTTGGTTGTGGAGATATTCTTAAAAAAATATGACCAAGCTAAGAGTGTTATATTTGCATGAGTAAACATAAACAGATGAAGTTAAAATTTCATTTCAGTAAAGAGATAAATAACATCTAATTACAAACAAGCGAACTTTAAGTCGATATTTATATATATCACTAAGTGTTGGGAATTGGTATTGTTAAGAAATTCCTTTGATAATAAAATAAATTATTGTTTTGTAGATAGAAGTGAAGGATTGTTAATAGTGCTATATATGCTTCACTTTTATATTGTTGGTTATTTCCTCTTGTATTTGATAACTAACCTATTGTTATGCTATTTTAATTGAATATTTTGTGTACCTAGTCAGTTGGTTTTTCAAAATCTATTTGGTTGAGAGTTGGTACTCGGTTTTATGGTCAAACTAATTTAAGTCAAGTTACTCATATTCATTTCGACTAATTGTCCGGTCATAATGCAATATTTTTTACTACTTCTCCTTGGTTCATAGTAGAGATGAGTTGAAAATAAGATTTAAAAAGAAACTAAAGTGACGGTGGGAGAAATGAAGCAAACAATTAAATGGACTACAGATTGAGTATTAATAATTCTAGATATTATGTCAAGTTTATACTACTTAGTAAAACAGAATGTAATGTGATATATAGTATAAGATATTCCCAATTTCAATGGGGTTGAAGAATCTTAACTAATCAGATCATATTATTATAAATGTCATGTTTCAATTATGTATGGAGTTTCAAGTTTATTTAGTATTACTTACTGGTTAAACGTAAGTAACTTAGTGCAAATTCAAGTCAGAACAATAGAACTTACTAAAATTATTCGGTATGATTTCGTCCATTTTCCTCATTACTGTTGTCACTTCCAACATGAATGGGTTCAGCGGATAAATTAGGACTCGCAAATGCCAGCTTAATAGTATATGGATATGTACATTCTTCATCTTTAATAGGTTGGTGATTACATAAGGCCAAAGCTTCACATGCTTCAGCATCTGTAGTCCATTTCATAAAACCAGATGAGGATTTATCCGAGGCTTTTGAAAACTGTTCAATAGATCTGAAAATACAAATTGTCAGGAACTTAGGGTTTCTGATTACGTAATGAGTATACGAACAATATTAACTAACCGATAAACAATAATGCCGTTACTAGGTAAGGAATTAGTCAACGGGTTTAAGGCAAATGGCACGGTAATACTTAAAGAAAAAGACGTATAGACCAAATAAACTAACGGTATGTTTACAAGCTAAGGATGAATTAGACGATATTATTTAGAAGAGAGTGAACGACATGATCAAAGGAGAACAAATAAAACCTGAAACTTAGAAACCTCTGATGACACGAAGGAACATCACTTGCAATTTAAATAGCAACAAGTACTTTATTGGTAATTTCTGGTAACACGGCATCCCCTTTTAATTACTCTGTTAAGTAATATGTCCCGGCACAAGACTTTCAAATTGTGAAATTTAACTCTATCCTTTATATCACTATGTAGTATTGTGTCTCCACTGAGGACTGTGGATATTGAATAGTCAGTTTTAAAATATCAGGGATTGTCGAATTCAAGTTCGTTTCTATGAAATTACCGAAATGGAATTTCTGTCATGTATATTAAAACAGAAATGTTAACAATTATGACCGCACTTGATGAAACTACAAGAAACTTTAATTACGCATTTACACAAAATATAATAAAGTCGTAGTGAGTACTCTGGAGATCATTAGTGGTAACAAGTACAATCAAAGGGCAAGATTAAACAAGCTTGCAACTGATTCAGATCGTAGTTGCTACCCGTGGTGTTCAAGTTTGCCTATCATGAAAACCGGATTGAGTTTTATTAACTGGAATACTTGTTCCTTTATGTTTTAACGTACCAAGCAAGTCAGTTGGACAGTGGTAAGACTAAAAGATCTGAGGATATAGCCTTGGTGATCCATACTTTACTGAGGTATGACGGCAGTAAAATGTTTCCCACAGATAACCAGCATCGCCAACAATGTATCTATTGGTCGCGACCTCAGGTCAACGAGTCTATTATTAACTCACCTAGCTTTTCAGTTTTATAAAGAATTCTTCTACAGCTTCAATGAAAACCCCCTACTCTTGACATTACATACCTTAATAACTTGTATCAGGCAAATTTATTTTAAAATTCAAATTATTGATATGATATGAACAATCTATTTACAAACTGCTCAAAATAATACGTTTTAAAGTTCGGTTGTTTATCCCTAAAACGTGACGGGATGTGGTAAAACAACACATGATCTTACGATATGAAATATGTAGTATTAATAATCTAAAGAAGTTATAGTCATAGAGTAGAAATGAGCTGATGATAAAAGGTAGAATTCATTTAACCTGTTGTACTTAGATACTGCGCCTGAACACAGAATAACATAATAGTCAGTCAGCTACAACGTAGGACCAGGCACATATATCATCGGTCCAGGTTGCCATACCTCGTTAGCACAGCAAGATGAACACCGGATTCATAGGAGTGGTTAGGTTAAAGGTGGTAATATATAGGAGAAAGATTGCATATAAGGATACAGTACCGAAATATAGAATTAGTTCGTAGAAAGAAAGATATGAAGCGATTTTAATCTCTTAGTTTAAAGGAAGACAGGGAGTGTACGCACCGACGCCATTGTGATCGATTCTCAGCCATGTCACCAAGAGTCTCCAACCATCGGTTACGAAAGTCACGCGGACCCCAACCAAGTAGTCTGCATCTACCAACATGGCTCAGACTAGAAGTTAGTGATTTCAAGCACTGATGCCACGTTTTGGTTTGGCCCCCCTAACTTTCTTCCAACCATTTCCAATACCGGATAGCATTGTACGTCGTGGTAATCGGTGTTCAGGCATACGTAACACGTGGCCCAACCATCTCAGTAGATGAAGATTCACAACCTCATCAACTGATTTACCATCATTTCCTAATACCCTGCGTCTAACCTCACTATTACTTACCCGGTGATCCCAACAGACGCCAGCAATATTTCTAAGGTATCTGTGGTCAAATACTAGTAGCTTACGAGTGTCTTAAAGGCCATGTTTCGCTGCCGTAAAGTAAGACAGAACGGACTGCCGCGCAGTATACTCGTCCTTTTATTGATGGACGGATATCTCGCCTTCGCCAAAGGTGACGTAAGTTGGCAAAAGCCAAAGGAGCTTTTCGAATCCGTGCTGAGATTTCGTCCGATACCAGCCCATTAGGGCTGATCAGACTTCCAAGATAAGTGAAGTTGTCAACGCGTTCGACCACTTCACTCCCTATCCTTAGTTCAGGTGTTGACGCAGGCCAGTCCTGAAGCAACAACTTGCATTTAGAGGGAGAGAAGCGCATCCCAAACATTTTGGCATTGTAGCTTACTGCTACCAAAAGACTCTGCATTTTATCAGCGTCTTCACCAAACAGGACTATATCATCTGAGTATTCTATGTCGATAAGCGGACCTCCTGGAAGGAGATCAATACCCGAGAATTCATTCGACGAGAATGTTATTTCCATCAGTAGGTCTATGATGAAGTTAAACAGAAATGGAGAAAGTGGACAGCCTTGACGGACACCACTTGAGGTTGCAAAATCAGATGACAGTTCGTCATAAGCTCTCACTCGACTAGTAGTATTCAAGTAAAGAGTCTTTACAAGGTTTATGTACTTCTGGGGTACGCCTTTCAATGACAGACACTGCCACAGAATCTCGCGGTCTACCGAGTCAAATGCTGCTTTTAAGTCAAGAAAGACCACCATCGTCGGACGCCGATAAGTATGCCTGTGTTCTAGAACCTGACGAATGGTGAATATGTGGTCGATGCAGCCACGACCAGGTCTGAAGCCAGCTTGGTTTTCTCGTGTTTGCAGTTCACGAGTCTTAGTTAGGCGTCTGATTATTATTGAGGCTAGTATTTTAGATATTATATTAGTTAAACTAATCCCTCTGTGGTTGTCACAGGATGTTCCCTATAGCCGCCGCCTTTTCCATCTCTTTTGCTTTCGTTGCCCACCACTGCTCACGGTCGTTTCTTAGACTTTTTCTTAACCTAGATCTGATTTGTTGTCGCTCTTCATCATGTTCGGAACCTGATGGGACGAGTTTGAGAGAATCCATCAGTGCGATAGACTTTGAAGAAATCCACTGGTTCTTTGAAACTCTGTGGTTTAAGTTGCTAATAGAAGTCACTGCTGCTTCCACAGCTGCTTGTATGTCTTACCAAGCAACATCTGGGTGAGCCTCGTTTTCAGAACTACCTAAGTGTGACCTCAGTTGTTCCTGGAACTTACTTTTGGTTTTCTCATTACTGAACTCAGTTCTAATGGGTCTTTTTAATGTGGCTTTTTTGCGTCCAGTGAGGCGCAAGCAGGTGCGTGCCCGTATTAGAGCATGGTCGGAGTCCAAGCAGGCACTCCAGAATGAGCGACAATCTTGTACCGACCCTCTCCAACGATGACTGATGGCAATATGGTCTATTTGAGTCCATCGTTGGTTTGGTGTAGGGGGTCGCCATGTTAGACGATGTCTTTCCTTATGCTTAAAATTTGTGTTTGCTAGAAATAAACGATTGTCTGAGCATATTTGCAGCAGACGATCACCATTATCTGTTCGTTGTGCCGGTATACTAAAATACCCACCTGAATGCCTTTCTGTTTGGTTTAAACTACCTATCTGGGCATTAAAGTCACCTGCTACGAGTACTATGTCTGAACGTTTAGCTTTCTGTAAAATTCATCCTTCACTTCATCTGAGCTGCAGTCGGTGGGAGCGTAGGCAGAAACGACAAAAAGGCAACGACGTGTGTCCCTATCCTTCCGAGTTCTTACGGAGCCGTTTAGCCGGACAGCACATAGACGACTGTTGACGGGGATCCACTCTAACATAATAGACCAATGAAAAAATGAATTGGTTACGAAAACGAGATGGAAGGAAGTTAAAAGCATGGAACAAAGAGATGTTCACGAATAGAGGGACGTGAGAAAGCATCCTATTGCATTGCATATATATGTATGAGTTATTTCATTCAAGATCTTAAACCATCAATTCTCCTACTGTTTTATGGGTTACACACAGATAATGGATACTAACAATGCAACAACTTGCATTTTGAGGGGGAGAAACGAATCCCGAACATCCCGGCATTGTCACTCAGTGTTACCTAAAGACTGAATTTTATCAGCGTCTTTACCAAACAGGACTATGTCATCTGCGTATTTTAAGCTGACAAGTGGACCTCCTGGTAGATCAATTTCTGAAAATTCAGTCGACGAAAATGTTATTTCCAGCAGTAGGTCCATGATTAAATTGAACAAAAATGGAGATAGTGGACAGTCTTGACGGACACCACTTGAGGTTGTAAAATCAGATAATAGTTCGCCATAAGCTCTGACTCGACTGCTAGTGTTCGAGTAAAGAGCCTTCACAAGGTTTATGTACTTCTGAGGCACACCTTTCAATGACAGACACTGCCAATTAACAATGTAATAAACTGACAAGTATTTCCAACTTAAAGTCTTACATCTGACCTTATTATAGCTATCTTTTTACAGAATAGATAAGCAGTACCTTTAACCAATTAGCGACCGAAGTGTATAGTTTCTACCTTTAATTGTCACGGTTGAATTTCATAAGACAATGGACATATGAGCCACTCAGATAACTATATATAACATGTCAAACAATTATTCTCTAAATTTAAGTCTATTTTTAAACACTTTTAAAACTCCTCAAGGAAATCATAAAGCATATTCTAATAAAAAACTATGTGCAGGTTTAGACAATAGACTATGGCCCACAAATATTGCATGAAGACCGATGATGCCCATAGGATAGAATGAAAGTTTGAGAAAATATGTGCATTAATATCTCAAATTAAAACGTGAAGTGTCAGGAAATGATGTAAAACAGTATGAATTACAAAAAGTGCTGAGAATGAGAACAGCTTTATTTTTATTGAGATGGACTATGAGAAAGTCGTTCAAAAAATCATCATTCATTTTATTTTACCGAATCCTAAGCAATATCACTCATAGCAAGTAAAATTCTGAGTGTTCATCGATGGTTCACGATAATTTGAAAACACCACGGTAAGGTAAAGTATTGAAACGGTTTTTAACGACCTCGTGATCAGGTATTCTATAAAAATCTGTCTAAATAATTAATGAATTTACTGCAATATTTGTGTACAGCAAAACAAAATATGAAAACGTACTGAGGTTCCGGGGCTTCACATTTTCTTACAAACTCTAATAACTCGTTACTCGAAATTTTAGGAGGAGCATTCCAGTAGTGCAGTGTACGTGAAGGTGGATGAATACGGTTCTTCTTAGCCATGATTGCTGTAGTATACCTGTTATTACGATCTTTGCTGTAATCTTTAAAAGAAGGAGAGCCATCGGGCAACTGGAATGGACTAGAAACATCCAAAATGACATCTTGCTTACTAGTTCGTACCTGGAAATCAAAAGAAATCAGGTGAATAAATGAAGAAATCGAATAATAGAAACTTAAGCCCGCTAAGATAAATAAACTATAACATAAACACTAAATTAATATTGAAACAATTAGCAATTGACAGCCAGCAGTGGACTATATCAATACAGCCCTTAACTAATGGAATTAGAATCAATGGAATGAACTTTAGTTCTGCACGGCCCAATACCATTTTCAAAAAAGATTACATATGTCTACCTTCGGTGTATGTTATTTAGGGAGTACTGAAGTGTGTTAACTAATTCATAGCTTGAGAAAATACAAACACATTTCAAAATGATGCTAAAAAGATAGCTACTTGTTGAATTGAATGTCACATGCTTCATAATTAATTGAAAGCAAGAGACTGAAACAATTTAGTACGGAATGGTGTTGAATTATTTTGGAAGCTAGTTCAAGAATAAATGTTATGATGAAACCTACGTTTCTGGATGGAAAAAGTAGTATCAAACCAAGAACATAAATACTAAATGAGTGATCACAGCAAAGTTGATTTAACAATGTTGGCTAGTGAAGAGAGAAAATTCGTAGATTCTTTTATATTATTGTCATCGATAGAAGTGTTCTATTTACTCTCAGCAATTTTTAACATGGCACATTCATAGACAGAATGAATATGGAGGTTAACATGAAGCTCGGATCAATGCTTTTTGAATGTCCTAGAAGTGTATATTGAAGAAAATTCACCAGACGGAAACGAAATTAAGACGAATCAAGGAGAAAGAGGCAAGAGAACAGGGAATAAACAAACATAGAACAATCAAATATTTATTGTTCTGAGGGAAGCTTGTTAAGATATTTGTACTGATTTTATTGACTTCGAATAAGAACATTCAGCTTCCAAATACTCATTTCCACTACCTTGTAGATCGCAAGCTGACGAAACATCTACATTTTCAGGGGATATATTCATTAAATTATCACTTGATTACCACTTTAAGGGGAGTTGTGTAACCGTATAAAACTCTGATACGAGAATACAGAGAGGAAAAACTGTGAAGCTTTTGATTATTGGAACTTTAAAAAGACTACTACACAACTCATGCAAATATAATAGCCATGTTATTAGGTGAGAACCTTTACTGAAACAACTAACACTAATGAGGTGAGACTTTTAGGCTTTTTGGGAAAGGATGTCTCTTTATTTGTTTCTCATGAAAATGAAACGATTTCTTACATATGTCAGCAATAATGCTGATATGAACTTTTTGCTTTCGACAAATATGGATTTTGCATGCATCCTTTTATTCGAACGATACATAGGTAAAAACAAAATATGAACTTATGTCTGTAGTATGAACTTAAACTCGAATGCCAGTTTTACGGATCGATAAGCATACATATATTTAAGTAACTGATACACTAAGGTGCTACAAAGCCAGAAAACAAAATGAAAAGTTAAAAGAACACAGCATATGGAAAACAATATGGACGAAAAAGTTCCGAAATGGAAATAAGTCGAAAAATCATAACACAAAGACATAAAACATACAACGTAAACGAGAAATCAGTTTCAGATAAGACATTACTCACCATTAACTGGTTACCCATAAACGAAACACCTGACAAATTTCGTATAAGGCGGGTAGCTGATTCAACATCGCCCATTTCAACCATAGCTGAACCTTCTTTAGTACGGAGAAATTTAACGCGGATGACGTTGCCATATATACACAAAATATTGAATATGCTAAATAAGGAAGCGGAATGAGTGTTATGAATTACATGAAAATCAAAAGAAACTAGATTTTAATTAGTTAAACAGATATTTGAGATTCAACATATCAGATCTTAGTTACATTATTATTTAGTTTTTACAAGTTTACACGTCCTCTGAACTTCACTCGACAGATTCAAATTGATGGTAGTTATAAACAAGGGTTAAGTGATTTGTAGATTACATAATCTGAACTGATAAATTCAATGTGTGAAGTAAGAAAAGAAAAAAAACCAAGCATTTTTATTTGGTTCGGATATGCACATTGTACGGCTAGAGTTAATAAAAGCAATTGTTTGAAAACAGGCCACATTAATATAGACCACACTGAGCAATAGACAACGTGGTATCTGGTACAAATGAGTAAATATTCAATTCCCCACACCCTATATCATAAGTCAGGTGAAATAATGAGATAAAAGTGCATAGGAGGAAATAATAACATCAGTTTTCGGTAAAAATGTAAACATAAGAAACACAGTTTTAAAGAAACTAATGAAACAGACCACAGGAAGAAATTAGTTAAAGATGTTTGTGATTGATTTGTATACTCTAGAAGAACTCATTTGTTAGCCTGTCAAATAAAACGAGACCACTGAAGGGTAGTTAAAGTTACAAATACATTTTATTGGACTTGGCGTCTACATCTTGGAATAAATGCATTGTTTGAGCGTAAAGATATGGTGAAAGAGTGATAATCTTCCATTTATCACACTGGATATCGACTGATTACTTGTTTTTGGAAATAAGATATCCATAGGAAGCAAATAATGAAAATATCACTTGATATTTACGTTTTTACTAGATTAATTGTACTGTATTTTTGAGTGACAGCTAGAAACACAACCAGTGAAAACAATTAAATCTGAATTTCAGCCAGATTTATGTCGGAATAAATTTCAGATGCAGTTACCTTTAAAAGTTTGAAGTGATACCAATCTACAGTTTAGTGCCATTTATGGATATTCCCAAGACAACATACTATTAGAAGCATAACATCGGTTGTACGGTTGTGCTAGTGGGTTACTTGATAAAAATCTAGTGAAGCCATACACTAAAATAACAGCATTCAACTGTTTTAATGATCGAAATTGAGCGACTTGCCATTAGCCAATGGTGGTTAATAATTAAATTAAATGAACTCGTTCACCTGGGTATGAGCCCCACTCTGAATGTGAGGAGCAACAGTACTACCCGATTGCTCAAACCGAAGTAGAGTGAGGTTTGAAACTAGAACTTAGGGACAGAAGAACGAATGCCTTAACCACTAAGCCACCGCTTTGCTTTATCTGGATAATAGTAGATTATCTTTTAATTACAATCGTGTGATAAAAGCCGTATGGATTTATAAAATTATGGAAAAATAAACTAACCGATCGCAGTTCATTTTCTTTATATCAATATTGTACAGCATAACCACTGGCGTGGAGTTGAAACTTTTATTCCTATTTTGGGCACCATTTAGTGTTGGAAAATTATGAGATCCCACAGGTGTATTACATTCTGAGGGGTATGGGCGTCCGTAATCGTTCGAATTTTCGTATGGATACTGGCCATAAGGGTGTTCGTAATCATAATAACCCTCATCCATATAACCTGAAGAATGAAAATAATGTTGCTAAGATACTTACCGAGAAGCGAGTTTTGATAGTGATCATCTTGAAAATTACAGGATGGGTCACGTTCGCATTTCTCGAAGTCCCAGTTATCCTGATCATTTCTGGGCACAGATAATCGAGCTGGACGAGCATAGTCTACCTTTAAAGTACAGCATCCTGGGAAAATATCTGCACCATTCAAGTGGAGCTTGGCGTTGCGAGCTTCTTGTATACTTCTAAACTCCACCATTGCCTGAAACACATGTCGGTTTTTATTTTGTCACTAACCTGAACCTGGGATTTCCGAAAGATAACTATTCGAAGGACGCTACCGTACGAAAACGTTATTCGATAAATTGTTTCAACAGTTATAGGACGATCAGTATCGTAAATCGTAAACAGAAGGATATGATTATCTGCTGAGAGCGAACTTTGTTCATCGGCAGGAGCTCTATTCGCAGCCCGCTGAACTATATGTTTTGATGTGCTGAAACTGATTTGAACCAGGCTATTCAGAATTTTCATTTCAGGATTTCTAAACATTAGGAATAAGAGTAAGTACATGATTATCAGGATTTTATTTCTCTATAGACTTGGGATTAGGTTGTAAACGAGAACTAAATCTTAAATACAATCTGAAAGCATAAATCACTCTAATTACTTGTGTAAGTTGCATAATGAAGTTTTCACAGCACACTAATATTTGCTTGCCTATGGCGAATTACTTAACTCACTACAATATCTTTCTGGATTAAGCTGGTGTCGCTTTTGCTTTTGTATGACGTGTAAAGAAAATAAATGTCACTAAGTCTAGTCGATTTTTGTCATTATGTGAACTGCGATACTAAACATCATGTGACCAAACTTATAACAAGGTATGCTTGATGTAATAGCTGAAATTTAGGTTCTTAAGATACCTAAACTGAATACTTATCGATAAGAAACAAATGTGAGGATAATTATCGCTTTGGAATTTAACCCAATTAGGATAACGATATCAACTATTTTGGTAAACTTGATGACTTGAATTTGGGTAATCAACGTACTAGTACATATTGGAAACCAGGTTATTTTAGGCACGATGTTCACCCACTTTAATGGTTTATTACACTGCCTAATTACTGAATCACTTGAAAACGTAGTCAGTAGAATGCATTTGATGAATTGGACACTTTCAATCAATCAGTTTACCATACAAAGCGTAAAACAACAGAAGATATTTACGAGTCTTTAGTAATAACATCTCAATTCGAGACACCCAAAGAAATTAACAATATGAGTATAGAAAGGATTAGGAAATATATTAAAATAATGAGAACTTTAGGACAAAATACTTGATTTATTGTAATCACATCAAAGGCCTAGCGTTTGAGTGAGACTTAACTTTTTTGCCTTATGAGTCCACATTATGTAGAGCACTTTGCCGACCGTAACAAGACATGTATTAGTGCTTTAAAAGAAAAACAACTACGTCCGTATTCAAAGACTGATTCGTTCCAACTGGAACAGTAGATGACCATATATAAACCACGGCGAGTACGAGCTTCTTAGTACCACTTTCTTCTCGTTATACGATTTTTTAATACCCTTAATTAACTTTTTATCTTTTTTATCCACTTGACATGGCTTCCACTCGATATCCCTTCTCCGAATTCTCTTATGTAACACCAGTAAACAGCCTGGAACGGATATTTACACGATTGTTGAATAAAAAATCGGACAGCTAGCTAACCAGTGACTAAAGTTGGATCTTTGGCCATTCCGAAAGTTTCTTAAACTCCTGAAATAAGAATTTACTGTACCTTTTTGTTTCTATTTAAATCACTGAAAAAGACTGACAGGTTTAGTTCATTCTGTAACGAACTACACAAGACTAGCATCACGTACTCCAATATTGGAGAGACACACATGATCAGTTTATTGAAGTGAACTAAACGTACTTATTAGGCACCTTATAGAAATCAAGTAAAAATAATCAAGCAACAACTGTTGAGTCACTATTAGATGATCAAGACAGACAATAGATCCTAAGCTACGAAATCGTACCTTTCTATAAGTGCTTCAGCTGATGATATATCTTCAAATTCGACCAAAGCTTGTTTTTTCTGAGGCATCATCGTTACGTCGCGAATACGCCCATAAGGCTCAAATGCTTTGACGACATCAAATTCCACACTATGTCTTGGCAGACCACGGACATGGACAACTGGAGAAGGGTCAATCTCGCCCCAATCTTCTGGTCGACTTCGTTTACAACCTGAACTAGTGCCTTTATCAGACATGGTAACCGAGATCTTGTAAATAGCGGCTACAGACGCCCATACATGTGAATGAATAAAACACAGAGAATCATCAATCTTTAGTAGTAAGGATAGATAGTTAGTGTTAATCCCGTCAGTTTGTCTTTCAATGACGGTTCAGCTCCTCCTTAAAAATGTTCACTGATGGGGCTGATATCACTCGTTCGGGTACGGCGTTCCAGTCACTGACCACTCGTTGAGAAACACGGAATTTTAAATTGTAAACCTTCTTGCTATGATCTCAGAGATTACTGGTGCTGGATGAAATATTAGACAGATCCTTCACTTATCTTAATACCACACTCTGAACATGCTCACGTGAGTTAGTATTCTTAATCAGATATGGGTCAGCTGCTTGGATACAGTACTCTAAGTGTGATCTTACATAGATCAGATATAAAAGTCGAAGCATCTCGTCAAAGTATTTGAATGCTCGACAAAGTGGTCGTAACGCTCGAAAATCTTTGGTGGCTGCTGCGTTTCGATGCGTAGTTGTTTCCAGGTCGTGAATTATTAGTACTCTTTAATCTTTATCTTTTTGAACGTGTGCAAGAAATGTACCATCAATAGTATAATAGTAACGATGACCGTGTCCGATGCTCATGAGCACACTCTTGTCACAATTAAGTTCCAGGCCGTGTTATCGATTCCGTCTAACTAGTTCGTCTAGGTCAGCTTGAATATCAAAATTATAAGCCTCACTGCTTATTGCTGTCCAAATTTTGACATCATCCGCAAACAATAATCCCGACGAATTATGCGGTAGTGATAATTCGTTGACACGGGGAAGGAAACGTCGGGGACTCAAGACGGTGTCTTGGGGTACACCACTTTTTGCCGGCTTCCATTCGAATAGCATTCCATCGACCCATTTGTCTTCAATCGATCTTTCCTCGTTGACTGACCCATCACTCGAGATAGCACAGTCTCTGGTTGCCAGAATATTAGCTCTCCAGGTATTGGGACAGGGTGGAGCAGATATATATATTTTTACCGTGTGCCCGAAACTTAAAGTACAACGTGATAACTATTCGTTAGTGGGGGAAGTTTCTGATCCTGAATAAGACTGAAACATGGTATGTCGGTGGCTGTTGCACATTTTTTCACATGTTAGCTTGGATGGAATCTTATCAGCTGTTTTAACAGTACCTATTTTTTAATCTATTTGATAAACAATCTTTAATGGTTCAGTTAGTCATGGGAAAGTGATATCTGACTGGAAAACGTTATGACTGAACTGTAAGGGAGTAAATCTCTGAGAACTTTTGAATTTGTGCTCCGAATAATTATCTGGATATATGAACAATAAGAAGTGAGTTATTGGCAGTCCAGCTAGCTTTTAGTGGTAATTATTTCGTTCCAACACCGAAATCTCTTGTTAATCGATTATGCTATTCAAGTACGTATTCCATTCCACCCCTCTCAGAGTTTTTTCATAAGATGTGATTGAGTTAGTGCTTTTTGTGTTGTGTGTTGAATCTTAGTACTAATGTTGGGAATGTTGATGCCCTCTGTTGCGGAGGCTTCTTCTACACTGACTGTATTTGTTAGTGCGTGCGGAATATAGAAGCTAGATCGTCTGCGAAGTCCGAATCGTCTAGTTGCACCTGAACTGCTCATTGTACTCTGTACTCATTGTTCCGGTTGTTAGAGTAGACATCGACTTCGTGACTTCCTCGACTTTCACCATGAGGCGTCATAATTCTTCTAATTGAAGATATACTTACACTTATGGTTAAGCGTACACGGTTCAAGTCTGTTTTTCCAGTTGGCGTCCTTTTCTGTCAGTGTCTGTATACGTGTGGCCATGTGAGTGCATTTCAAGAGACAGTGATCTGACTCTTCTCATCCTTGGCTATACCACGGTATTTGAGGACGCCGGTTATTGCAGCGTCCATGATAGTAAACATACTTTTGGTATAATGTATATAATCGGTGATAATACGAAGTTATAAGACAACTTCAGCAGAGATACTGGTGAATCGGTAAATGTGGTGAAACCTTGATTGAGGTATGTATATGACAGATACGTATGCCACGAAGGAGTAAGGTGGAAAGAAACGTGATGCCGTGACTAAAGGTATCCATACAAAGAGAAAGAGAAAAGTTCTAAGTGGTTTGGGCATGTGTATGTGGAATTATGGTCTACTATGATATTAGTACTGCTCTAATAATAGATCTAATCCTATAATTGTAGATTTGTCATTATACAACTGCCTAATCTATAAGATCGTACGTGGAAGTCACATCATCTTCTACACTAACTCACTGTATCGTAACAACTACCAATACATGATGAAGAACAAGCTTAGGCTAAAGAAAGAACAATATATTTAATATGAATAAAAGATATAAGGTAATATTCAGCAAGGACCACGCCTGCATAGCCGAGCCATGCCATTCGATCAACTCTAATTCATTCAATTCCTTGTTCGCGCATTCTTCATCGTTAGGTTTTTCTCCGCGTTAAATATTGAATATCTATTTTCCGAGTAATCTCGTATTCAGCTTTGAGGATTGTGTAGTTATGGTCCAATGCCGCTACATGTATACAGGTGATATATTGTATGCAAATTGAAAATTGCAACGACAAGAGATTTGTGCTGCAATTATCAACCCAACAGTGATGGTGGTGAATTCATGTACTGTATGTTTAGTGGCGATTGCACTTTTGAATTCCATCACATTGTATTAGGATGCGGCAATGTGTCCAGATGAGATCAAATTTCGAAAACAGGGTTGTTGTTAGAATAATGTCCACGTCGATATTGTTACGTCCAAGTTTTGCTCGTTCCCGTCATTGAAGTACGTATATCAATCTATTTGCAATTTACGAACCCAAATTAACAATGAGTGTTAGCTGACGTCTACCGTGCTAAGTTATGTGAGACCAATCAGCATTTTGGATCAGGACTTTGTTGTATATCCAACGTTATGGGTGGTATTTTCTTATCACAATGGGTATCACTCGTCCTATGGATAGAAGTAAGCAGACTAGTAGTGAATGGGTCTTTATTTAGATGGAGGAAAAGAACAATTGGAAAGCGAGGTTATCTTCTTCAAGCATACAATTTTTTAAACATTTAACGTGAAATAATAAAGATAACACCTATGCAAAATAAGGAAGTGAATGAATTCTTGAGCCATGATTTTTTGACATTATTAAGATGCATTCAGCCAAACATCAACCAACCTAAGTTGTTACAGTATCATACTATACCCCACTAGGTGTCTACAAGAAACTGATTTCCGATCTTCTTGTCTGTGATGTAGATGAACCTATCTTCCACGCGACTTTGGTTGACGCTAGAAGTCATCAGCGGCCGATTATTGTGGTATTTCTTGGGCTCTTAGAGCCGAATCGACCCAGCTTTGTGTACCTTTATGCTTTGGTGCCAAATCAGATTCTACACCAGCAAATGTTAAGATAGCTGGTGCGTTTTGCACATCTCAATTTTATTTTAGATTTATTTATAAATTGTTTTATTGCCATGGTCGTGATAGCTGCACTGCAGGTACACTTAGCGTTTACTTAGATTTTGTAAACTAGTCGCTTTGTACGATCTCTAGTAGAGTGACTGTTTATGCGTCCACGAGTTTGCATATCCTACCAGTTGCTATGGCAAGCCTATTTCGCTCTCCCTCTGATCAAATAACTGTCAATATCTGTCGAGTGATTTTCTGAATGTGTCGTATTCACAACCTGTAAGATCGCGTCTGATCAACCTACTTGTCGACCGAAATGTCTATTACTTTCCTCGTAATTTGCGATGACGTATTGCCGCCCATTTGTAGATCGGTGAAAGCCTGTGGTGCTCGTAGCCTCGTCAGATGTTTACCTTGACAACCATGATTACGGGGCATCATGGGATTGAATTTAGAAGAGGATAAGGGGCTGCTACTACACTTTATTAGTTTTCGCACGGATCACAGAATTACAAACACATCGAGTTAATTTGAAGCGAAAAACGCAAGTATTTATGAGAGCGAATATAATGGTAAATTTATAGTCATATCAAATACAGGTATGATGGATTGAAGTAAAGTTTGTTTTTATAATACAGGCACATATATTTGAAGGAAGTAGAATAATACATCGAGCTATATTTGAGAGATCAAGATTTGAGTTAGACAGAAATATGCGTGGGTTGTAAAAAGCGATCAAATATACACATTTACGTATGTACGATAGCGACTCTACAAATACAAATAAATAAACGAATTGTTACTATGTCGATAACATTGCCTGCCAGATAAAAGGGCATGACAGGGACAAACAGGTAACAAAATTGATCACAATTGTGACTACAAGCCACTGTCGTTTAGTGGTCAGATAGAACGGGGACTTTGGAGGCTCTCTGTTTCAGAATATTTGTTTTTAGTATGACTCCGCTCACTTAGTCTATTATCTTATCCTGCTATACGGACTGGTAAAGCTGAACTTCGTAGCTCAACTGGTGGTTTGATGTGTGACAGGAATGCTTTTTAACATATCAAATGACAACGTGGCGTTATGTGCTTTGAAGTGTAGTAAAGGTAAGGATATGTCACCCATTAAACAGGACAAAGAAAGGACAGGAATGAAAGCATCTTGAGACATAATAAAAAAGAATGTGTAACATACAATTATGGATGTGATTAAAATGACTCGGGTGCAAATAGGCAATATTATTGCTTACTGAATCGATCTTGTGAGTTAATGTTCAGGGAAACGATAGAAAAGTTGTAGTATAACAGGGTTTGTATTGGGACAATACAAGAATAAACTGTCAGTTATTATGTGATGTACAAATATAATCAGCTAATATCCATATATAATCCTTGGTTGTTCATATTTAATCTAATGATAATAAAATTAGTATTCTTGTCATCAATTTAAAAAAAATTGCACAGACTCCTCGGGCTTAAGTACTTTGCCAAGTTAAGAAGTTTTACGAGTTTGTTAATTTAATTGTGTGTGCTCAAATGCAAGTGTATCATCATAACACCAACCCTGTCTTTAAGGTTAATCATTTTGTCTACATACGTCACCTCAC